TCTTTTGGCAAGTAAACTTTTCACAATGTCACCATGTGGTCAGATATTCTAATTTAGTCACGATATATTCAGATCAATTGTTAAGTCGTTTCAGTCATTAGCATAAAATTTCGGATTATTTCATAAAAATTTACCTAATTATTTTCGTCAAACTTGTGAAAACCCTTATTTCGCGAAGACATTTTATCGGAATGAGTGGACTTCGGGTGCGTTACTCATCACAGAAATAAAATTACAAAGACAACGGTTTGTTTACAGGAAATAACGAGATATTATGGTAAGTGACATCAGAATTGTTAATTTCATGACGTGTTATGAAACGTCTGTTGAGAGACCTCACATTTAGGTATCACTACTATGAGTACATAGTCTTCAGGAAGGTACCGAAATTGGATTTCCCAATGTTATTTACATGTATAATGTAATTCATACGGATTTCGTTACACATATCATGGATCTGTCAACCTCACAAAGCATCACTTAATGATGGAAGGTCATGTATTTTACATCAATAGATACATCCAAAACACATTCCTATGTTAGAATAACTGATGCAGCCTCTTGGATGTGATTTATAAACCTATGATAACGAATTATGCATATATGGACGTTTTCTTGTGTAACGTCCAAAGGTTTATTCAATAATGTCACTATGAAAAGCTTTCCTTATGGGGGAACATGTGGACACTTTTTAGCACCACATTTTGACATCAATTCCCCGTAAATCTGCAGATTCTGTCTTGCTTAGGTTTAGTTTAGCTATGATGACTTCAGGACGACTAATTTTGCTAGGTGAGTACATATGTTTCGTGCATGTGTTTGCGGGAGGATTCGACATGTTTTTGTACGCCATCTTGTGATAATGCAGAACTGTAATTGAGCTTATAGTGCTATTACAGTGAAGCACACTGATTAAAATGTAAAAATGTCAAAAGATTCACTGGTCAAAAAGCGCATTTATATTTTAAAACAACTTTACAGTTAGATACATGTACAATAACGCCAAACAATAAATTAAGCTATATGATACTGGTATTTCGTCTTTCTGAGATTCATACAGTGAAACTAAAGGCCTAAACTCATAATTCAATCAATTTAGTAATTACATCCTATACTTTAAGAACAATGACATGTAGATATATATATATTCTGAGCCGTCAAGAAATACTAAATAATTCGACACCTCCCCTTTTTGACATTTCTCTCGGACCACTTTGCTTTTCCTCGAAAGGAAAAAAACTGCATAATATAATTCTACATTGTGTTTTTATGAGGTTGTTTATCGTTTGTGCAATACATACTAACGTCATATCCGAGTCGCTATTTTGCAACGTTGCAGTTATTTGTCTTCGTTGATGTGTGCTACTCATTATAGGATAAATTGGAATGACTACAGTTTAACGAAATAATAACAGTTTCTCCTTATGGTAGGTTCTTTTTTTTTTATTGGTTTGACATTCTCTAAGCATATATTTACACTATTCAAGGAAAGATAGGACTACATAATGTTTAATAAGGTAACAGCTGATAATAATCATGTTTTTACCAAATGCTGCTATCCAAAAATAGAAATTAGTAATAAGGAAATGAAAATCCTCACGGTAATCATATATCTTTGCGGAAAGATGTTAATGTTTTGTAGGAAAATATTTGGGTGAAGCAGTTGATGTAAAGAATTTGCCATGTGTTTAATTTCCAAGAACACCAAAGAGTTCCAATTTTGTTAAAACAAAATTAGCATTGCTCTATGTAAATCGTCCAAGTGCACATTATTTTAAATCATTTAGAACAATACATATATCATCGCAATAACAATGGATTAGACACTATGGACTGTTCTTTTGTTTTCAAGTAAAAGAGTAACATTAACCTAAATGCGATTGCTATAACACAAAACAGTGACAAACTAAAGTCATAATAAAACAAGGCTTCGCAGATGACCACATATGTTTTCAAATTTTCAAACCGACAACTTAAAGATCTTATTGTATTTTGTTTATTCATTCAAAAAGGATGAGGATATGGGGATGTCTCGTCGCAGCACCTGTCTGCAACAATGAAACCACTTTGCGATAATTATTCAATACATTACATGTTGATTATGCATATTGATTCCGTTCATGCCACAACATCAGTGCAGAAGAGTTCATATACCAGAAATACCATGCTTCTTGTCCTTCTAGTTCATGGGAATAAGTCATTTGAATGTTTTAACTAATATGACCCTTGTGACCTGGAATATAAGGTAATTTCTTTTTTGCAAACTTAGTCTGGCTTCACCCGAGGAACATAACAGCCCAAATATCAAAGTGTTTGATTCATTAGTTATTGTTTAAAGGATAATGTTGATACCGGACGACAGACGGACGACAGACAAGAGACGACAGGTGACGGGCCAGGTGAGCTCAAATGAATCCGTCAGAGTCACCAAAAATGTTTTTAACACGTGTTGAATATATTTCATAATACCAACTGTCTTGAATCATTACGTATTATATATATCACCATGCGAGTGACACGTTCAATCTCTCTTGTCAAAAAAGTAAAAAAAATAAAATGCAATTATATATGTATGTGTCTTGTTTGTTTCAAGTGTGATAATTGCCTTTCTGGAAACACAGCCATACACTATACATCTTAAGTTTTATCTAGCATAGAGATTTATAAATTGTATCTTAGATAATAAATAAGCCAATCCATCACACTCTGAACATTTTTGAAATGTTCTTTTAGACGTAGAGCAATTCATTTAATGTTGACAAGCTGGAACTAAACTAGTAGTTGGAGAGTGAACACGAAAATACACAGAGAAATCGAGGTGTATGTATATTGTTTTCATAAAAGAAAAACAAGGAAAATACCGACATGTCAACAGAACATTTCATTATTCAAATTCAAATTATTGAAACAATAGCAAAACCTTAACAAAATGAATATTTGCTCGCAGACTCATAGAAATTTACAAGATTAAGACACGGTGTTCCGGAAGGGAAAACATCGTCTGCTTCATAGACGACACCAGCCATGTAAATCTTGATTAATCCAAGTAAGTAATGTCATGTTCTCAAATGAGAACAAAGTGAATGATGGAACCACAAGGCATACTAATGAGCATCAAATGCGCACGACTTCTAATCACACAGGGAAACAGAATATTTCTCAATTAAACCATCATGATGAGTGTAAAACTCGCCCATAATTTTCATTTACCTGCATCTCTCGAAAACCTGTCTTGTGTGTGTATGCATATCTGAACGAGGAAAATATGGCATTGGGGACAATATCGAATCAGCTGCGACATGTAAACAATAAGCTGAGGATGAAGGCATGCCGCTATCCTGCAAAAATAGGAAATTCACGAGAAGGGACAATAGACCCAAGATATCTCGAAGTGATATTCAAGAACTTTGCAAGGATTTTGTAATCAATTTTGATAAGATCTTCAATAAATTTAATCTTACAGGGAAAATGTACGTGATTGACTTTACCTGCAGTCTGTATATTACCAAAATGTACGCGATGGACTATAACTGCAGTCTGTACATTACCAAAATGTACGCGATTGACTCTAACTGTAGTCTGTATATTACCAAAATGTACGTGACTGACTTTACCTGCAGTCTGTATATTACCAAAATGTACGCGATGGACTATAACTGCAGTCTGTACATTACCAAAATGTACGCGATTGACTCTAACTGTAGTCTGTATATTACCAAAATGTACGTGACTGACTTTACCTGCAGTCTGTAGATTACCAAAATGTACGCGATGGACTATAACTGCAGTCTGTACATTACCAAAATGTACGCGATTGACTCTAACTGTAGTCTGTTTATTACCAAAATGTACGTGACTGACTTTACCTGCAGTCTGTACATTACCAAAATGTACGCGATGGACTATAACTGCAGTCTGTACATTACCAAAATGTACGCGATTGACTCTAACTGTAGTCTGTATATTACCAAAATGTGCAGAGGTTCTCAAACACGAGTGCCAGACTAGGAAAGGATTGGGACGAACGGATGTTAGTCACACCATAACCCCTTCAATAAATAATACATTTAAAAAATGAGAACGAACACACGGAAAGACAGATGATGTACTGTAATGTTTACTAGTTATGGACCTTGTTTACCTTTTGGTATTTACTTTGATACAGATCCGGTTGTACATAAATCTACAATAATAATGAGGAACCGGACGCTCTTGAATAACATCATCCGACCATGTTAACACCTGGGGATTACACAATTTCTGGTATGTTAAACGTCACGGAATATAGAAATGCAATTGAATCATTAAGACATGAAGTTAATGGAGAAACATATCTCTTACAACATACCGATTTGATCTTCCAGTTTAGAGTGCAATTTTATACATAAACAATTGATATATAAATGTTAAATTTCATTAGCGGCTTATGCACGGTAGCTTTAGCGTTGTTATTGTAAGTGTATAACCCCAAAAACACAACTAGGTGTGGAACTTATGAAAACAATATATTTACCACCCCAGAGGACATAGGATAAAATATTATGTTTAAAACGACATAATCTACTAACATTTTATCATTTTGATGAAGTGCATTGTCTCCTAGTGACAAATGTTTATATCAATATTTATACATGCTAGTAGGAGGTATGGTTTTTCCATAAAGCAGAGTCGACCAATCAGAGAATAATGAGAACGTGACATTCCATATCTTTTACACATGCACGACTTGTGAACCTGCATTTAGAAGGATATTGAAGCGGAAATACCTTCCGGATCTGAAGATGTTCAACCGGTGAACGAGTTCATAGATAATACGGAAGGGCAACCTTGCAGACATAATGTGAAAGTGTATGTTGTCAGGGACTCAGAAACAAAACAAACAACCAACCATAGTTTGTGCAATTCATCATTTTTTTCTGCGCAGGCGTATAGGATATTCCATGAATTCTTATATAATAACTAAAGTAGAATTCGAAATTAGTAATTTAATTTACTAGAGTATGTGGTGTTTTATTATTACTGCTATCAGTATGATTTTAAATTCTCTGTTACTTATGATGTCGGCAGCTATAAACACTATTAATTCTACAGATGTGGGCGATGATCAGTTCAAGTTTCCATTTCATCCTCAGAGCAATGCTAACCTCACGGAAGATGAAATAGCATTTCTAGGTACTCGGCCCGGGCAAATGTTGACGAATCGTTTACCTCAAGAATGGTCCACTCTGTGCAGTATTCTACGAGGGTTGGAATGTCTACATGCGCCAACTAAGCAAAGTGTTAAGAATGCTTTGAAAATAGTGCAACCGGTTTGCGCGTCATGTTCAGTTAATGGTGGGAATACATTAAGATTCGAAGACTTAAGACAATTTCTACAAAATCCGACAGTAAAGAATACCTATGCCGTAACGATAAAATGTCACGATGGAGGGAATATCTCACTACCGTATCCAATGCGTGCCGATGGACTGAAGTACATACATGTTCACAATTGTTTCATAATTGATTCGATGGCTGATTATTTCAACGATGAAATAAACCTTATTCCGGACACACTATTGTATTACGCTATTACGAACTCCGTTTTTTATGTGGACTCTGTTAAGTTTTCTCGAATGATCAAAAACATTCAATACATGACAAAAGCAGCAAAATGTGGCCCAGAAAAGGATCTCATGATTGCAATCAGTAGAAACATTTCGTTTGCATTTAGCAAGTTTGTTATGCCAACTGTGGAATCCATGAAGAGTGAGGAGACACCGGTTGCAGCACGTACGTTCTATCGCGGGGTGTCTCGTGCTGCTTTCACATGCAATTATACAAAACTGATAGAAATAGACCGAAGTATAGCAAAGAATCTTGGATCGAAGCATGACAGTGTCCTCTTACAAAACTCAGAATTCCCATCACTTCAAGTGTTTAATTTGTCACATGTATTACTACGAGAGTTGCCTGGAAAACTAGATGACTGGAGGCTGTACTTTCCTCGCATGAAATACTTGGATTTATCACATAATAGAATAAGTGATTTCAAAGGCGTGTTGGATTATGGGATTAGGTCGGAAGACCATAGCATGGGTACACTGGATTTGCGCTACAACAATATAACAACTATAACCCTGAAACAACTGCATTCATTACAACACCATAGATTTGTGAAAGTAGACATTCGAAACAATCCTTTTGATTGTAACTGTGGTATGCGTGACTTTGTCCAGTTCTTTCGTCATGAAAACAACTTAACTACTGATGGTGTAGTGGGACAGTATATCTACTTGCAGGACCTAGAATGCCAGAGACCGGTAACTTTGAAAGGTCGTAGAATTGTTGGTTTGACTTTCAACGAATTAGGCTGTGAGTTGGAAACGACAACATTGCTAGCTGCACCCATCATTATATTGTGTCTCATTGTCGTTATTCTCGTCGTTTTTATCATCATTATGATCAAATACAGGAAAGAAATTGTGATTTTGGCATTTACGAGATTAAATATTTTACTTCCTTGTCAACGAGTCGAAGACAACGCTGGGAAAAATTTCGACGCGTTCGTTTCATACAGTCAGCACGATTCTGATTGGGTATTGAACACTTTGGTACCTGGTCTAGAACGTCCAAATGGACTTGACCCGTTTAAACTCTGCCTTCATCAACGGGATTTTGCTGTTGGAACTGCCATTGCGGAAAACATTGTGAACAGTGTTGAAGCCAGTCGCCACACTATTCTCGTTATTTCTCGTAAGTTCCTCGAGAGTGAATGGTGTTTGATGGAATTTAGAACAGCATTTCATCAAAGTTTGTTAGAAAAAAAGAAACACCTTATTCTTGTCACACTTGAACACCTAGCCCCAGAAGAGCTTGATGCCGATTTGAAGCGCTGTATGCAGACATTGACATATGTTAATATCAACGATAGGCTGTTTTGGGACAAAATAATATTTTCCTTGTCTGATAAAATAAAAATAGGCAGAGATAAACGATTTTTCAGCAATATAAAACGCGCTTTCCTTCACGGATATAAACAAAATCGAGAGGTCAATGACAATGATGCGAAGTGATGTAATACTGCTTTTGCTATTAAATTCTTTCACTCCAATTGATGTTACTGTTATATCAAAACAACTTCACAATTCTACATGTTAACCAATGCATTTTTGTCATGTATCATAGCTGGTGATTTTCACGGGTTAAAAATTTCGCAGTTAGGTTTGAAAATGACTCAATGATACTTCAATGAAATAACAAAAATCGCGATCTGGATGTAAAAGAACATCTAATAGACCGCGTCTGATTATTTCCTGGATAAATTGTCGAGATCAAGTTACTGTAACGCGAAATATTTAAGATATCATACTTGCGAAAATCACCGACTATCTGCACTTTCTGGTGACATAACCAGATAAGTCATATATATGGATAGTTATTTGAACTATGTTAATGTAATTTTGGTGATGACTTGAATAGATCCTTATCGTCTTTATTTCAAACTGTAAATTTTTATGCCATCTTGAATATCCTAAAACGGAAATGTCCTATTTATCAGTGCATACTTTCCTTGAATAAAAAACAAAACAAAACAAAAACAAAAAAACCTCAGTTTGTGTACAAGTTAAGCGACTGAATTTATTACAATGTTTTACGAGCGAAACTGGATAGATCATTTGCAATGATGATAAAAGGAATCATTTATCATCATTGTCACTAGTAATGACACCACATACATTTTCCAGTGATGGGAATTTTGACCTATCAGGGAGGCATTTCACGGAAAAAATTAAGTGCCCTCTTTTTATCTTTTATCATATAAGTTTTCCGTTTTGTAGTCTGTTAAACAAATTGTAAGATAAATAAAAACAGACATACTCTCCAAAATTGTTTCTGTAGAGAAAACTTAGGACAAAAAAGTGATAAATAATGTCATTGTAATTAGTGATATAATAATTTCAATAAATATTTACACATCATTCAAGTTCGTCAGCCTGCAAAGTATAAATATCAAAAGGAGATTGTCAATTTGGTGTTATTCAGTTTTGTTTAATAAGGATGATATATATACATATTGCATTACTTTATGTCGATGGTGTGATCTCTGATAATTTCTTGTCTTCAGGGAAAACAAAAGCAAACGATAATTTTTTTTTATAGCAATAACATCTAATGTAGAATCTGCTGTAAGCTGCAAGTCAATGCAGACCAACGTTTCCTATTAACCCAAATAGACATGTACCTACAAAACCAAGTTAAAATCGAACATTTCTACAATGTTATCAATCGTTAGACATAAAGCTTGGTCACCAGTAGTAATGGTCTTCCTTACCGCTATATACCGACACGGACAAAATGACATCTGGTCGCATAATACATTGTAAGTTGATGTTTACCAGGAATCTGATTTGTTTAAATCAGATGTGCTGTTTATATCCATCTAAATCTAAGAGCTAGCCAGGGATGTTTTAAGAAGTCTCTACGTTTCTCCTATAGTAACTTGACATTTTAGGTCTTTTTCATAAATTGAGTTTGATTATCCCGAATTTATCTAAATTCAGAAGGGGTACACTTGATCAAGGAAGTGACTTCTGGAAACATCTATTTTTATGAGAAGTATGAACCTGGCCATCATTTGGAGCGCTTAGTAAGAACTCTAGTGACCTCTTAAGACTATAGATAACCCTCCGCATTGATATAGCTAAACAATTCGTAGCTTTTACTGTATGTTAATTCTTTTTTAATATGGACAAATTATCAATTATCTTGGTGATGTTGAATCTTATCACGATTGTACCAAAGAGACACAATAGAATAGCACCGTGTTAATAATTCAAACTGAAATTAGAGCAAGACAATTAGGTAAACCGGGTTTTTGGTCCTTTTATGACTCATCAGTAAGGTCAGGACTCTCCCCATGATGTATGTTTTCATGAAAAGGTCATATATCATTTGTACTGTCGCTGAAGAAAATTGATTAATGACTTCGTTACAAATTTTTTGAACGAAAACATGTCGGTGTATCAACGTTACAGTAATGACAAGGTTGTACACGCAGGTGTACTTTCCTGTTTTTGTAAACAGTGTCATACCCATGCCCCTTCACAACTTTTTTATTGGTGTATTCGTTTATGGTGAGTTATTCTTTTAGTAGACGTTTGCCACTTCAATCAACAAAATGTAGAAGACACGCCTCATTATATTCAAGAACAAAAGCGTAGTATTGCCTCGTCCGATTGAACAGCAGAAGTCGGTCATGAACAGCAGCTTACAGCTCCTAGTAGGGATTACTGAATGACCCTTCTCGAATATTGGTTGATGTTTTAGGGACCCACGAACTTGCGAAAGCTTGTACAGAATTAAAGGACAGTTCTCTTGCCTTTGCCATGAGTATTATGCTTTCTTTACTTCACTACAGTTTTCTTTCTTGGCTATACTAGCATTAGCTAATCAACAACAGGGGGGGGGTTCATGCTTTACATTTATTACATTTCACATTAAAGATACTTTGCGTTTGGAATCACTTGTTGAGACCGTGTACTTTTGACCATTATCGTTTGGCAAGGCAATTTGCATTGAGATAATAAACCAAGTGTTCCGGAAGGTTACATTATTTAAAGCCTTGTTCTAAACATCAACATTTTCGAGGAAGACTGTTGATGCGAGTTCATTCGAAACCACTTTGCATGGTGATTATCATCAAGCATGTCAAACTTTAAATCACAGAAAGAGGTAAGAGCAGTTTCAATAAGATATATATCAAACATGTGCCAATGTATTAAGGACAGAACTGTTCAGAAATGGTTTCAAAATTCCATTGTTTTTTGTTATATTGGTATCCGACAAGGGATAACATTTCAATTATTCTTAATTTTTTGAAATTTAAAAGCAATGGGAATTTCGTTTCTTGATTCAAAACTTTGAAGACTCGGTTAATTAAAAGCATTTTAAAATAGGAAAGAAAATTTGATTTGAAAGGTCGGGCAGTGGAATGACAAAGCACTTGACTTTCACTTAGGCAACCGAAGCTCGATTCCCCGGACGTGGGAACAAATAGAATCACCTTCCCGACCACGTGTTACCTCGTTTCACAATTGCTGTGAAATGAATAACGTTTCAGTAGAATCTCGTTCACTGGACTATAATGGTGACAAACAATCTTGAGAACTATATCAAACTACACACATATTACAAAAATTGTTAATTAAACGCGTTTATCGCACAATTTCAATACAACATATAAACTTAAAAAGTACCATGAGTGAAAATTATACGTAGTATTAGCATTTATGATCCAAAATAACAAAAGGTTGCGTTACGTATCGAAATCGGCCGACCAGATACTCCAGGGGTTACGGTCACTTTTTTTCTCTCTAGTCAGAAAGCGAAAGTGATGGTAACCACTGAAGTATTGCGTATGGATATTCCATTTTTCAGCAATGGCCATAATCAGGATAACGAGGAAGTGAATAAGGACTAAACTGAAGAAAAATATAAAAGAATAAGTTAGTAAGTCAAATCAGTTGGTTTATTGATATATTACTTATCTTTGTGAGACTTGAACGGAAAGCTCTCCCTCTGCAAAATCCCAAAATTTGGTAGGTACATTTAACACGTATTAACTTTTTAAAATCGCTGGATTGAGTAAAGCATAATAATAACAAAATGACCTCCTCCCCATACATCGTATTAATGCAGGTTTTCAAAATTAAAGTACACATGTTGCTGTTCATTATGAGTATAGGTTTTTTACTGGTGTATTTGTTCCAATAGTATATGTATCTGTATTTGTACAGAAAGGGATGGTGCTCTTTCCTTGCTTTGACTGAATTGTTTAACCGGATGTCTGTCTGTAATGTATAGATTAAGGATTCATCATAATTTCTAGAGATCAGTTGAATAATCTAAAAGTATAATATTTACAGTCACTAGGTTCACGAATCATGAAAATACAGATTGAAATAAATAGCAATCTCATGTGTGTCCAGACGTCCGCATACAGTACAATGTTTGTCTACTCAAAAGGGGAAAAATCATAAACGAAATTGAATATGCATGAAGCGCTTTCAATATAACATACAGATGGAAGTATCTACGGCATATATCACATTAGAAGCTGAAAAGCTTGCATATGAACACACAGGTAAGCTTCCTGGTGTATTTATATAGGGCTCTTTTGACAATGTCCAACTTGTGACGTCACAGATGTGGGATACCCATATCGAGGCGGTCGCTGCCTGGTCAAAGGTGTATATTTTATATACATAACAATATCTCGGAGAAGGAATTAATTACGAAGTTCTAACTTTCTTTGTCTTTTATTATATAATATTAAGTATTATGTAGCTATTGGGTGAAACGACGTTGAGTCTCTGGCAAAACAAAAGCACAAAAAACAACATATAAACATAATCATAATCCAAACTCAGATTAAATTAAACAAGAGGGAAATATGAACAAAAGACAGATTTACACGGGGACTCCTGATAAGTACAAGGGGAAATAAACAAGGTATACAACAATGGAACCAACAGACAAACTTATGAGTATCAAACACGTCCAGCTTCATATCACAAAGAGACATATATATAGACATATATATATTTTTTTTTTTTCATCATATCTCTATGACAACCGTAAAACTTCCCCATAATTTTTGCTGTATCTTTTGTTTTTCCGCCAATTGAAGACTTTCTAAACGAAAATCGTGATAATGGGTATACACTCTTGCATGTCGAATCAAGTGCGACATATAAACACAGGTTTTGGGTTGTATTGATGTTTCTATCCAAAAATGGAACATTGACAATAGAAAAAATGCAATCATCACGCTCATATAGCTTGGTGGAAAGCCGTCCATGTTGGTTTCGATGAAGGTAAAACTCGGAATAAGCGGCTGATGTAAAGCCTGTTGTGACATTGATTTCCAATTTTGTTGGGTATATACTGTACGATGGACATGAGCAATCAATTTATCGTTATTCAAAGAGAAGACGTCACCATTGTATCTTAAAATAAGATTAAACGACTTTGCAAGGTGTTTGTGACTTGTTTTGATAAGCTCTTAAATACA